TGAAAATCAACTAATTTGCAGATTTTACATAATTTTGTTTTACATTCTTTCAATTTTAGATTTAAACATAAAAACAAAATCTGCGGCAGACTAGATGAACTTTACATCTGAGCATATTATTCGCATCTTTTACATAATCATAACCAATTCTATTGTTGAATTGAAATACTCCCATTTGTAATTTGAAGCAAGTAATTTAATTAAATAATTAAATGTGAATAAAAAGAGTCAGGGTCGTTAAAAAAAGAAATGGCATGCACAACGCGTGATCTTAAGAAATGGTAAAAGAACCATGTTGCACTACAACAATCATGCATGTTACTGGTATTTTTAGAAGAACTCTTGACCGATTTATGCATGTATTACTTACTTCACTCACATTTCCTCCCTGTAGAGTATTTCTGATTTATGTATTTTTAACAAGACCTACTTTGTTTACCATGGAGTGACAAATCACTTAAGATATGTGCCTTGACTTTTTTTTAGCCAAGATTTTAACTCCTACATTTCCATAATAAAAATGAAATAAAATGTAAAAGTTTAAGGATGTCATAAGAAAAGTATGTATAAAAGTTTCTGCCCTCATCTGGTTTCTTACATATTTATGTTGCAATAACCTACGTATAAACTAGGTCAGTACTAACTTAACGGTATACCTACACTCACAGGAACAGACATACAGTTATATATAGCCTTTTTTCACATACAGGTTGTTTTAACATCCAGTCATCATTCAACATTCCATCCTATAATATAAACCCTGAGCTACATTTCACTTCTGCTCAACTGAAAACTTCCACCAAAAATAACTCTTCTAGTATGTATACAATGTGAAATTTGTAAAAACGACAAATTACTATCAGACAGACTGTTATTAGGTTTATGTATTAGTTAAGTTTTGCTCTACGCATTTATCTATGCATACATGTACATAACTTGAGTTCTTTACCCACTGTAGTTTGTATAGTTAGTTAATATAATTATTTACATAGAAATCTAAAATAAGTGTGAATAGTATACATCAACATTCCTGTACAAATCATTTGATAAATGTAATTCTATCAAATAACCCATTCCTGAAAATTTTGGAATCGTTTTCAAACAAAACTGTGAACAAGGAATAATGCAAATCAGTTTAAAATAGAAATAAAATCTCTTCAAATTCAACAATCTTTTAACTCCAGGAAAAATATCTGCCAAGAATGGGGGAAAAAACTCAAGGCAGACAGTGCACTGAACTAGTTTTCAGAGTTTGTACAAGGTATGTGGTATATAAAGCAGAAGTTATGTCACGGAGGATGTTTATAGATATATCATCTTCACCATCTACATCTGAACCACAGGAAGTGGTTACCCCACACATATTGAGACAATTAGACAATTCCCACACTATATCACATATTTTATGTTCCACATCAAATAAACAAATAACAAATCACAGAGAAAAAAAAACTTCCTTGAAAATTACTTTAAATGTCTGACTCGCCCATTATAAAGTGTCGTCTGCTTTCATCCCCAACAGCTTTAACCTCATTCATTCTCAATACTTCCTATTTAATTTACAAACTCATAGTTATACTTACTGACTCATCAAATATATCTAGTTTCATTTCAAGATCCTATTAATACCCGTAGTTAACATTGGATAAGTATTATAACTTTATACATTAACATAATTCATCAGATATGGTTTTACTAAACATCAAGAAAATCTCTTTAATGAAAACTAGTTTTTACCTTTGCAATGTTACTAACAAGTTTATATATTAATATTTTTTCACCATCATCATAAACCGCTTTATACCCAGTGTTTTTATTGATTACTGCAGAAAAACAAATTACTTTATAGATTTCCAACCTACACATACATAGCACAACATATTCATTTCTTTTATTGCAAATAAAAAACCCTGTGCTCTATTCATTCTAATCAGAAATAGATATCAAATGTCATAGAACGGATATCTCTAGGTTTTATCACACAACTTTAAACCCACTTCATTCAAATTTTATTCCAACTCGAGCTAAAAATCAATGACGCCCAACACGTGTGAATTGATGATAGTGATAATAGCGTATTTTATTGTTTCATGTATTGAGCAATATGTAACAAATACTTACAACTATAATACAATGTAGATCACAACTCACATGTCGACATACAACATTTCCCTGCTGTGAAAGTCAGTCTGGTACTGTGTGGGCTTTACCATTATTCCATCTGGTGACATCCCACATCATACAAGTCACATACGTACACCTCCACATACATACCCATCCAAATCAAATGCTCTCCAAAAATCTTCACTTGTTCAATTAATGACAGACATTTCTTACTTGTCAAATAAATTATTTACATACTTTTTCCATTTCACGCCAGAAAATGGTGACAAACATCAATTTGTGTGGATGGTGTCTGAACATGTGACTAAATATGGCAGACATTGGGCAGGAAAAATGCCATTAGAGCATCATGCACCAACTGATACTTACGGAAAATCAAGATAAAGGATATCCAGACACAAATATAGACTTCCTTAATCCACTCCCTCAACTATATTCTATTTGTAACTATTTTTATCTTTTTTAGTACTTACTGTAGGAAATTCTTACTCAGAATATAATACCGGCTTCCATTGCTACTTAAAGGATCATATAACAATCTACATATTTATATTAAACACAGACGACCATTTAGAGTAGCATTTAATTAATTACCTAGAACAACTGCTTGTGAAACTGTATTAAGATTATAAATTTATTTCACAATGACTATTTTGTGATTGAATGTTAAACTCCATTTCTCTTCCTCTAGTTCACAATTTGTATACAATATTTTCTCTTTATAGGGATCTATATCCATTTCCCAATATTTCTATTTAAAGTAAATTTTCTTTCAATCCCGAAAGGTCAATATAATAATATCATTTTTCAAATTTCTAAAACGTAACATGATGGTCAATAACAAATGAATGTTTAATCAAAAGTAAGTCTGGATATTATGACTCTCTGAAAGTACCATCTTGTGCATCATTTGGCTTATTTCTTCTGATCTTTACAGTTTATTGTAGGCGTCAAATATTTCACCATTTTTTTAACCATATAATATGTAAAATTAGAGACCTGTTTTTCACTAATGATTGAGCAAAATATGTAAACTACAAGACAGGATATGAATGAGTAATATGGACCCACCCGAGCCTCTAGTCATATCAATCCACAGTCATTGTTTAAATTAAAACAAATAAACTTTCAAACATTTAATACATTTTTAACCCAATTATTTCTATTCAAAAAGATTAAATTCTCCAGGAATGAGCACACAAAGCTGCGAAAGGCACATAATTGTTATGTGTGTATTAATAAAATGGACTGCAAAGCAAAGCACAAAATGATTTACTCTTTCTCTTAATATTTGTCTGATGGAATTAGTTTTAAATTGCCATCATATTCAAATAATTCATCAAATGTTTCAACTTATCCAGGTTTGACAAGCACCAACTTAACCAGGTTTGACAGGCACTAACTTATCCGAGTTTGACTGACAGCCGTTAACTTATCCGAGTTTGACTGACAGCCACTAACTTATCCGAGTTTGACAGGCACTAACTTCAGCATTTTGATTTCTCAATTTACTTTTTATAGACAAGCAAGAAAATATATATGTATAATTTCATTTAACAAAGAAGACCAATATAGACCCAAAACTATAGAAACTTGTTGAATAGCAACACTGAATTTTGTGGCCGGGACTCTAGTAGCTATTTATTTATCAAGAACTAGAAATTAATTGGGTTTGACCTAAAGAAAGAGAGAATAATATATAGCACCATCCGATACCATGAGCAATCAAATTCAGAAGTCCACAATACAAAATGACAAATTAGCGTAATAGTACATGGATCTGTATTTTCATGGGAAAGCAGTAACGGAAAAGATTTATGTTGCATTTAATAACAGATTTCTAAAACTCTCCACATCCTTATACCACTAATAAATCTTGTCTTGAAAGAAATCAGAAATCAATGACAATTTTTTTATCAAGAACCACAACCAATTCACATAAATATAAGGTAACAGACCATCTCAATAAAATAAAAGAGACAAACAACTGCTGTTTATCTTGACACTTTCATGTTGCATGTAACAATTCCTGTTAGAGGAATTTATTTAGCATTATTCTAGAGATTTGTCATATGTATAGAAATTTTTCATATTCTGATTGCCAGTACAAAAGATTTGATAGTGTGGTCACATCTTAGATAATTCTATATTCTATGATTTTTGCATTACAATACATATATTTTAGGTATAAATATTTAGAACAATTTCTATGCAACCTATTCATCTAATTATCATTCATCTAACTCCCATTTAGTAAAAAAAACACCATTAAACAAAATTAGTAGATGTAAAGCACAGAACCTAACAAAATGTTTTGAGAAAATAATACAAGAGACTTTATCAACTTTTCTTTAGAAACCTCCATGCTAAAACAGATTTACTTACATGTAGATAAGAAATAAATCTGTCTGCTCTAATCTCTGCTATTCAGGTGTAATTTACTTATGTATACAAGGTACGGTTGAACACTCCCATTTAATGAACATGTTGCATACCTAGATGTCTAAATGATTGATAATTTGCCTTTCAAATATGTATATATATAATTGGGCACGCGTAGGTACATTGAGTACCTTATACATATATAACACACATACTATTTATACATACATCTACCTTTAGAACCCAGATGGTGCCGACAGAGATGTCTTTAACATGGCTATACTTAAAAGACTTTTTCTTCTAATAATTGTTGTTTAATGTTCGATTAAAATACAATTAAAGGTCAAAAAAGTGTGCCACATCTGGAATTGGAGGTCAGTTTGCAGGGACGTGCCTTGATAAATCAAGTAAATTATTGTTGTGATGAATACTGTTGTCTGCTTGTACATTGTACCTGGAAGAAATTTGTAAAAGGAAGTTTATTAAACACTTACCACAACTGTTTAACTTCACTACCTTTGACCTGAAAAGAATTATAAAGTAGGTTAAAACATGCTCAAAAGTTGTTCACCTTGTATTAAAAGCATAAATGTTGTTCACTTTAAATATAAATGTTGTTCATCTGGTATTGAGAACATAAAAGTTGTTACCTTTATAAATTAAAAGATTGGTCGTGAGGGAACAAAACTTAAACCCACAGTCATCCAAGCAGATCTCAATGGTTAAAGGGCCACTTATTAGAAATTGTTGAAAATCAAACACTGGGCATAAATTTCAAGTAAATTAGCTAGATGTCAAATTAAGCCTCTTGGGCATCCACATGCAATTATGGATTATGTACGGACAGGGGTGCCGACAATATATAACCTCATTTCAATGCAGGCATATAAAAAATTTCCTACTTCAACTTTATGCAAAAGTCAATGAAATTCTTGACATAACAGGTATCCCAGTTAGAAGATGAATATTGAAGTGTGTGTTATAACACATCTTTTCTCCTACATCTCAAATAGCTCATGAATAATCTCAAAATAATATATAACATTCTATGTGGTCTTTTATCTGAGTTCTTATGCCTGAAGGTGTAAAGGAAGAAACTAACGCAGATCTTCTATATTTGTAACTGCTAGTTATCAAAGCATCAATTGACTTTTATTCTGTATAGAAATATAGGCTACAGATAGGTAATTGCCAGGCTAATGTTTAAATGTACATCATATACAGATAATCATAAATTCTTTAGACAAATTACTATAAATAACCTATATTTGATTGTGTATATAATGATATATAAATACATGTAATATGGATGAAGCTGATTTGCCATCAGCTGCCATCAGCTGTCAATGAGCTACTTTTATAATGTTTAATAATAAGCACATGGTTTTATAAACAATGACATCTTAATATAGTTTGCTGCAATTACATGAATTTCTTTTTCAATTGGATTATCAATGATCGACTTAGCATCAGAAATCACATTTTACCATACATATCCAGAATTAGTATAGATTGGCTTAGCATCAGAGATCATATTTTACCATAAATATCTTTGATTATGAAAGAATAACTGCATCAGAAATCACATTTTACCATAAATATCATGGATTATTAAAGATTGACTTAGCATCATACCATTAATATCCAGGACATCCATTCTTATTTAACAGTCCTTCCAGGATTGTCATATCAAAACACTAGTCTGATAATGGACCATTTTCTACATGGATTTAGGTACTCCTAAATATCTAAAACTGAGGGTCTGGGTGGGCTAAAAATTAAAAGTCTGGATGGGCTAATAAAGTCTGGATGGTCTAAAAATTAACAGATAACTCGTGAAATGATTCCAGGGTTTGTAAATTATTTGAAGGGGGTGAAAATCTGTACAATTGCTCTTTCTCTAGAGACACCTGATGGCATCAGGCAGGTAAATTATTTTTACCTTGGGTTAGATATTTACCCCATTCATGTAAAAAATGATCCCCAATCACATCCTGGTGTAATGAAACAGATGATTTGATAAATGCACCAATCACAAAGATCTCTATTGACCTCATCTTCACATCTGTTGCAGGTTTTGTTATCAGGATAAAAATAACCACAGCCCAAGATATTCAATATGACTTAACTTTTCCCTGCTTTATTGTCTGACTCCCCTCCCCCCTTTAATTTAAACATTATGATGAAAGTAATAAATCAATGCAGATTTTCAAGAATCCTTAAAATAACAAAGTAACATCAAGAAAATGTCTAGATCAGTTACTAAATATGAATATGACAGCTGGTGGTGATACAAAAGGTTTTTTTTTTAACAGCAGTCAATTCTGTACATCTGTACTTAACAGCACCAAACTTAGCATTCCATTTTCAATATTTTGTATGCTTAAATGAATTGACTTTAGGTGTCAAGATAGACAAAGTTCTCAAATAAGTAATTACTTGCAGCAATATGTTGATGTATAAACATTTTTTATCATAAACCCCCCACAAATAACCGACTCTAGACTGATAATATTTTGATCGACCCAAGCAACAAAATCTGGATTAAGCATTGACTATTTGAGCTTTCCTGGAATACTGATTCATATACTTTTGTGTCTCTCCCACCAAACAGAATAATCCATGAAGCAATTGTTGGATGCTCAGATTTTTGTGTGCGTGTGAAATACCTTATTTAACGTCTGATGCCATTGAAGTGATATTGCAGCTTCAGAAGAGGGAATCATAGAGCGGGAGTCTGCCAGGTGGCATATTAATTTTCACAGATTTTTGGTTTGATTGCCCTTTATGATCAACAGAACCCTATTTACCATTATGATTGTTTGTATATCTGAGGTCACCTGGATTGTCCTGTCCTGTGCTATCTCAAATTTGAATAAACATCCAATAATATAACTTGCTTGTGGAATATCTGGGATACTTCAGGTCCATTCAAGTATTGCTAGAAAAAATTTGTGTTTAGATTCTGTAATCAGTCTGTGTGTGTAGTTATTAAATCAGTTTCTACCATGTAATGTGATCCTCTATGACTTTATAACTATATCTCACTTGGTCAATCAAAATCAATTGTCTATGTCAATAGTCAACTAAGACTGGCAGTCAATCGATATGGTTGTGATTTGATATTTGACGATAATTTATCACCCCTGAGATTAATCATTATTAAACAAGTGGATTTTCTCCCAACAGATGAAAAGCTTCTTAAAATAAGCTGATTTGCAGTGCCTAAAACTTGACAAAGTGACAACTAGCTCAGGTTGATATTCCATGGCAAACTTTAACTCTGCAAACTGTTTGTTAAATTTACATCATTGACTTGCTGTGTTCTCACAGCAATAAGTACATAACTTTATAAACATGGCTAACACGTTCAAATATTTTTTTATAAATTCAGAATGATTTTAGCAACTTCGTTTCCTACAAAATCAATAATCAGAGTACATCAAAGGCCATCTTGAATCAATTTTGGAACTGAAAAAGATAATCTCTAGTTAAAGAGTCTGGTGGGTTATAATGAGTAACTGTATAATTTAAATCTTGTAACTCATTTCTAGTGGAAATTTCACTTTACACTCAAAAAATATTCATATCCCCTCAACTCTATTCTCACTGCTTTCTTGTTAAATATCAAATAACTTACCTGAGATTCATGAATATAGATCACAGATTACTGAAATTTTTTCTGCCATCATTTAATATATCCATCAAATTCACTTTCCAAATAACTTGCTGCAATCTATCAATGGGCTTAAATCAACCTGAAAGAAATAAAACACTGTTGAGTTCTTTAGGCATAACCATTCCATTCTGCTATTTATATCCACTGAAGGAATGGCAGACAGGCAACAGGAGTTATTTCTGTATCACAGAGAAAATTTATACAGTATTCCAATCCACAACTATTTTACAATTCTAATATTTCTATATCCGTTCAAGTCAAGTTTCTTGGTCGAACACTAAACCCTCCCTATATTATTTTTATAATCCATTGTTTAAAAGTCCTATGTCATCCCTTACCATTTAAGGAATGTTTTTATTGAGTAGACCTAAGTAGAAGATATGTGACAGAATAAACTAAACCTTTGTAATTTTGCTCTTTTTTTCCCACATTCTTTTCCACGTGAGTGAATCAAACATTAAAGATATGGGCTTATATATCTCAGGACACATCTCATACCGGTTACAATACAGTCTTTGTAGTGTTAGATGAAACAGTTTCTCATATATATATATATATATTCTGTTATATATTCAATATACCCGACCCTAATACTCATCATAGAGATATCACCAGAAAACAATGAACAGGCACCCTAAAAGAACAACTGTCCGATAACCGATTTACTGTCATACTGGAGAGAGAAACAATTGAAGCCCATATTGTTCACTGATAAGATTTTTCTGTTGTCTCCAAACTTACACGAAGTACAAACCCCCATTGTGTTAACGTACACATTCATCTCAAATACACCTCAGTTAACTATAGGTGTGTCAGACGCTCTACTGTATCAGTGAACAGACAGCGTATTATTCCACATTTATTCTACAAGTATTCTCAACAAACAGGGCAATTTTTATTATCAAATATTCCCACTCATTGGCCTTTCTGCAAATATTACGTATTGTTCACAAACTCAGGTAGTCATCGTATACATACACGTAGCACAGCCAATCGACAAATCAAATTTTACCGTAATGAAAACCTAATCCTTACAGGAAATCACAAATAATAAAAATCATCGAACACATTTCAGTTGTTGTCCTTTTCTATATTTATCTGCTGCACATATTAAATTTGAACATGTTGGTGTTTCCTGTTGTTTTCAAGATGGTTGCCAGGTACAGACGTAAACTATGAATGAAATAAAGACTAGAAGCTTTATCACACAATATTGAATGAATACCTATGAATGAATGAACTGTGTAGTAAATCATTAAAGATGTATTCACTGTGTAAATTAAAATATACATAAAAGTTAACAATAACACCATATATATATATATTAGACTATAAAACTGTAGGCTATTAATAACTCAATCAATCATTATCAATATAATAAAATGAATGAAATTTTATATCAAGTAATTGAGCATCTCTCAGTTCCTCTTCATGTTACCACATAGACTAATACCTTGATTAACTCCATTAGCACACTTTGTAACAATAAGTTGAACATATTTTAAAAGTTTTGAGGTAAATCAGAATAAATAGATTGTAGACTTATTGAAGGATCTAATGTATCACTCCACACATTGGTCCTATCGAGACAAACATATGGACACTTTTCTTCCCTTAGTTACGTGATGTAGAGGAATTCTTTCCATACAGTGTGTTTCTGCCTACTCTTTTTCAATTTTCAACTGCCACAGACTTTTTAATTGGATGCTATTTATGTACACAGGTGAACCTCACCATCACCCCTGACCAGTGAAGGCAGGGTTTGAATATTCTTCCTGCGTCGAGGGTTCTGTTTGTTCCACGCCAGGATTTGCACCCAGGTGATTCCAGCGCCGGATTAAGCAAGGTGTTCACAGTGGGACCCAGCCCCCCACTCCACTAGGGGCTCCCAACAAAAAATCTTAGTTGCCCAAAAAGCGATGTGAGCATAGTTGCACAAAGTACTCCATCTGCTAGTAGCAGTGATGGGGCCCTCTGAAGCCCTCCATGAATTTTTAATGTCCTGGACATTCAGACAGACCTTTTCAATCCATGGTAGGCCCATGTTGCGGTTGAATTTGGTGTAATCCGGTGCTGGAATCACCTTGGTTGATTCAGCGCTGGGTGATTCTAATCGAACGACCAGTGCCTCCACAAGCCCCCCCCCCCCCTATAGCCTTAATAGTTGCCTACACATATTAATCAGTCAGTAGCAGTAATACAATTTTCAGACTTTTTTGTTTTGCCAACCGCGAACCAGTTTACCGCCAAAATACTTGAGAATCTCAAAATATAAGTATTCAACAAATACCAAAATATAACTTATTTATTACCCCATCCAGTAAACTACAAACTCTACCTTCTTGACACTTTTCAACTATTACAGCTAACCGGTTGGAAACAATTCTCAGTGTTAATTAATCAATATAAATATCTATAAATTTATGTTCATTTATCATGATTACCAGCTTGTTAATCTTACTAACAACATTCAATTGTCAATATTCAATTTACTTAGCAACCAGGTATCAAGTACCTTCTTAGACCACCATTATGAAAAGACCTTTGATACAAAACAATAATACTATTAAAGACATCCTACATCGAGACTACAATCATCTTTTTGTTGAAGTTACAGCTATGTAATTTTTCAAACAAGAGCAGCTTTGATGATGTTACAGCCATTATCGACAAGCAACCACTTCGCTTTCTAAGAACAGAACCGATTGTATTTTTTTTTTACACCACTTTTAATGAAACAATGGATCTCTTTTTAGTTTCAAATTTGTAGTCAGAAAAATTACAAAACTGTGTTCAGGTGTGTTATTTTGAACATTGAGCTGAATAACTATAGAGTATGTATATTATATATGAGTGTAAGTAAGGTATTTGAATGAAATATATATATAATATACAAAATTATATCTTTAACCTACATCTAATCTTATTTAGAGCTTTTATTTCCACCAATGACAGTGATGTAATATAATCTTCTTTTTACACTAATTGAGGGAGACTCTAATATAGTTAAACCAAATCTAATTGAAAAGTTCTGAACCTCGCATTAACACACATATGAGTGGGGGCCCCTGACAACTATAAACTTAAACCTCAAGGTATTTTTTATCAGATGGGGATGAACAGCCACAAAGTCCCAATAGTCGAGCATGGTACATGTGACCATAGAACAAAAACATGGCGCGGTTGGATAGCCAAATGGTTAGCATGTGTACCTTGTATAAGGTCTGTCAGTGACTCAACCGACATGGTTTTGATTCCCCGGTTGTACATGACAAGGAGTAGGGTCGCCTGTCCAACCTTGTGGGTTTTCTTCGGGTCCTCCGGTTTCCTCCCACTTCTATAGACCCCTACGTGCAAGCGAATTATTGAAATAAAATTGAAATAACCTAGTTTGCGTCAAGTGTAGGTTAAACCCTCTCTCTATCTCACTCTCTTTCTCTCTTGTTGTCCATATTGGTTCTTTTGTAGGTAATGGAAGCATTACAAGACATTAAATACCGACATTAAGTAACAACTCATGAAGTAATTACCAGAAATAATTAAAATTTGATAGGTTTTAGTTCTTTCTGCAGCTAATATTGATTACATTTATTATATAAAAAATGTAAGGGTAACCAAAAGATAACTTTAGCTGTTTTGAATTATCGAAAATCATTGAAAAGCAATAGGCTTCTTATGAACATAAACATTGTCAATCAGATAATAACTTCAGCCTCTAGAAAGCTCACCAGATTGATTAAGGGCCATAACTACACAAGAGTTTTGATCAAGGACAATCACTTGGGTGAGAAATTATCATAAATTGTTGATTGATAACTTCAGCCTGTTGAGCATTAAGAAAAGTATGGCAAAAATGATTCAGATGACCTAAAAAGGTGAACCACCCCTGTGTGTGCGTGGTACTGTATGTGACATTTAACCAATCAAACTATGACTGTGTTCAATATTTATTATCATAATTAATCAACATTAGACTAATTAATACAATAAATATGATTCAACATGAATAATATCCACCTGTTGTGATGTATTTTGTACCCATGTGCAAGTGCATCATCCCCAAGCAGAAATATCTTAAAATGCAGTATTGACAACCTGCTACTAACGATGTTATTTAAGGCCTGTGAATAAAACAGGTTAATAATATGTGAACGGTGCATAGCAACATTTATATTAGATGAATTCAACCACCTGAAGCTCTAAATGATGCTTTTTCGAAGAAATACAAACTTTCAGTTTGCTTCTGTGGAAAGTGATAATCTAGTCACCTAATGAATTTAACAATGAATTTCCTTGTATACCCTGTTAAGCAAATCTAGCAATCATTTCCGAACAGTACATGTATACTCAATACACTTTTTATCAATATATCCTTCTCCTTTAAAATACTCTCTAACATGGATACATTTCTCAGTTCATTGAATTCTAAATATTCCAGCTATAAATTAAATCTAATTTCCCATAGAAGTAGGAGTTAGATGCACCCTCTCTGTACAGTCCACCATGTACATAATCTAGTAGATGCTTAAAGTAGCTAAGTTTCTAACTCAATATCATCCAAAGTCTTCAAGAATGAAAACACGAATTATTTTTCAATTTAAATCAACTTGATGTTGTGATCTTTCTGGGAAACGATGGACTTCCAATATCCAATATTTAAGACAAAATAAACATTCTACCATTGGAAATCGTGTACGATAATGCGTTTCAGCGCTATTTGTAACAAACGGACTCAAAGAACGAGGTTAGACATATTCCACACCGTACGATAGTCCCAAAATGATCTAGTTTGCGTTGAGTGTACGTTAAACCCCATTTCTCTCTCTCATCTCTCTCATCTCTCTACATGTAGCGATAAATATAGTAATTGTAAATGTTTTCCATAGAATTGTGTCCAGTGTATTTCAAGTTCAATTACTACATTCCATTTAAGCAGGATGAGAATTTGATTATGTATGGTATTGGGAATTCAGCATGTCCTGGGTTACCCGCATTGTGAGACTCTTGTATATTTTAAATAGATTGCATAGCAAAATACATGTAGTTGGCAACATGACATATAAGTTACATGTTACATAT